CTACTTAAACTTTTGTGGCCTGTAGTTCTTCATGTAAGGTTGGCAATTTGCTCCATGAATTAAGATCGAATTTCCAGGTGTCTTTGGCTTCCTGCCAGGGTCTCCGAGCCCCTGCCAGGGCTTTGAGACATCCAGGGCATCCAGAGAGATGCTCTGGGTTCCGACAGACCCACGGGCCCCTCAGCAGCTCTGAGAAGAGGGACCCCCATAACCTCAAATAAGGACACTGGAAACAGGGAACCCCTGGGAGAGTGGTTTTGAACTTGCTGATTTTTGGAGGTATTTCTGGCCACCAGACACCCAGTGACTTCTACAGATGGACTTGGCCAGTGGACCATCAAAGGCAATGCACTTACATCTTGTTTTTCCCCAAATCAGGATTTCGCATTCCCAAACCTTATCTGGATGAAGGAGAAGGCTGCGAGGAAGCAGAAGATGCCCCAGGACACTGAGGCAGGTGAGGAGGAAGTCAGTGGCCCTTTCCCCCTCTCTCCTGCTCCATCTCCCAGCCCAGCACAGCCCCTGGCTGTAGGACAACCCTGCTGCCAACGCTGTCCTGCCAGGGATGGATTGGGAGGATCTCCTTCTCCTTCCCTCTGGCACGGAGGCAAATCCCATCCTCTCCTTGTCCTTCTCCTGCAGACAAGGAGCTGAGGATGAAGAGCAGGGAGGACAAATCCCCATGGCAGAACCTCATGGACGAGGCCATTTTGAGCAGCTCCATGGCACAGGAACCTAATGGGGCTAAAAAGTCTCGGAGATCCCTCAGGAGGAGGGGCTCCAAACCCAGCCCAGGATGCTCCAAGGGGAAAAGACCCAGCCTGTGCCAGGAAGGCAGCCAGAGATCTGGCCAGAGCTCTGAGGTGGTAGCCAGTGAGCAGCATGACAATGGCAAGAAGCCCCACTGGTGCTTGGAATGTGGGCAAAGTTTCCTCAAGAACTCCTACCTGGTCGTCCACCAGAGGATCCACACCGGGGAACGGCCCTATAAGTGTGGGGAATGTGGGAAGAGCTTCAGGATCAGCCACCACCTGATGAACCACCAGAGGATCCACACCGGGGAACGGCCCCACGAGTGTGGGGAATGTGGACAGAGGTTCAAGATCAGCTCTGCCCTGATCGTCCACCGAAGGACCCACACTGGGGAACGGCCCTATGAGTGTGGGGAATGTGGACAGAGCTTCAGGATCAGCTCCCACCTGATCGTCCACCGAAGGATCCACACGGGGGAACGGCCCCATGAGTGTGGGGAATGTGGGAAGAGCTTCAAGATCAGCTCCCACCTGATCCACCACCAGACGACCCACACCAATGAACGGCCCTATAAATGTGGAGAATGTGGGAAAGGCTTCAGGAGGAGCTCCAGCCTGAAACTCCACCAGATGACCCACACTGGGATACGACCCTACGTGTGTGGGGAGTGTGGGAAGGGCTTCCGTGACAGCTCTGGCCTCATCATCCACCAGACAATGCACACTGGGGAATGCCCCTACATGTGCTCAGAATGTGGGAAGAGCTTCATGGGGAACTCCAGCCTGATTATACACCAGAGGATCCACACTGGGGAGAGGCCCTACAAGTGTGGGGAATGTGGGAAAAGCTTCAGTGCGCCCTCCACCCTGACTGTCCACCAGAGGATCCACACTGGGGAGAGGCCCTACAAGTGCAGAGAATGTGGGAAAAGCTTCAGGCAGAGCTCCGCCCTAAATGCCCACCAGAGGATCCACACTGGGGAGAGGCCCTACAAATGTGGGGAATGTGGGAAAAGCTTCAGGCAGAGTTCCGGCCTGATTCCCCACCAGAGAATTCACACTGGGGAGAGGCACTATGAGTGTCCTGAGTGTGGGGAGAGGTTTCAGAGCAGATACCATCTCCTCAAGCATCAGCAGATTCACGCAGAATAGAGGCCCTTCCGCTGCCCCGACTTTGGGAAGAACTTTAAGAAAAACTCCACCCTCGTCACCCACCAGCAGATCCACACTGGGGAGAGGCCCTAACAGTGTCCCAAGTGTGGGAAGTGCTTGTCCCAGAACTCTACTGTGGCCAACACCAAGAGAGGCAGCAGTAAGGGAAGGCCTACAAGTGCCCCGTGTGCAGGAAGAGCTTTGAGCGCTGCTCCAACTCCATCCCCTGTTGCCATCTTGGTGCAAAGTTTTCATACCTTCTTGGTGATTTTCATGAGCAGCTCCTCACAGCACTGACTCCTCCTCTGCACAGCCAACAAACTCCATCTTGCATCTAGACCTCCCAACATGCTCTTTTACAATACCCCTCTTTAATTTGATCCAGCTGTGGCCTATTAAGGGCAGGGTTGTTCTTCATGCTTGATAATTGGCACAGCTGTAACTCCTTAGGGGCCAGATTACCTTCAGCACTATCTCTATTCTCCTACATTTTATCTATCCACAATCCCCCACTGGAGGACCGCCATTGGATGGTCCACAGTGACCCTCATTGAGCAGAGACTTGGTGATCCATGATCCTTGTGATCCACTGGCTGGTGGTCCCCACATCTTCCTGGCTCCCACTGAGCACCTGGATGCAAGAGGAGCTCAAGGGGACCTGGCCAAGGACAGGGACGTGGGGGCCATGAACATGGAAGGAGACGTGGGCGACATGGGCATGGGTGGGGACGTGGAGAGCCATGAATGACGATGTGTTGGGGACACTGGCATGGATGGGGACATCAGGGGGCACAGACATGGGTGGGGAGATGTGGGGGACATGGACATGGATGGTGACATGGGCTGAACTCCCAGAGAATGTGGGGATGATGGGTTTGAGTGAGTTGAGGGTCCTTGGGAGGGATGTGGGGTGCCATGCTGTGCAAACTGAAATTCCAGATCATTTGAGTGTGTGCCATGGATCCAAGAGGGAAATTCCCAAGGCTCCCAGGGGCTGGTTCTGCCCTGCTTCCCAAGGGAGCTGTGCAGGGGCAGGTGACAAGGCCCAGAAGCTGTGTAGTAGGCTGCCAGGGCAGACAGCAAAGGTTGCTTTGCTGGACATTTTCCAGCCCATTCCCAGCTCAAAGCAGAGGGAAGACAAAAAGGAAAGTGAGTCCCTAAGAGAATCCCAGTATGATCATGGGGAGAAGGGACCCTGCCCATGGGTTGGAGTCCCAGGAGGGAGAGACACCTCTAACCCAGGGAAGGTTCAAATGAGACCATAGGGCCACAACCTACGGATTTTATTGAACATGTATTTTATTGAAGATAGCATTGAGCAAGAAACATGAGGTACAGAAATAGGAAAGAGATTTGAGAGAAGAATAACTAGGAAATACCTCTGCTGCGGACTCAGCAGCTTCCAGTGTTACAACAACGTGTTATATTGTTTGCTTTTCACAAATATTAAGTTGAATGCAATATGTATAATGTCAAAATAACTTTGCTTTTATTTCTGCTATTAACAAAAATCTCAGACACGGTAGTAATGGTAGTGATGTAGTGAAGTGTCTGTTTGGTTGGGATAACGTCCAGTGAACATGAAATGAGGGCCCTGCTATTGAAATGCCAACTGTCAGCCCTCACCATCTGAAGGAAGTATGGACCAAGACCCAGAGTGGAAGTGACAAAGAGAAGGAGCGAAAACCAGAGCCAAGAAACACGGCAGAGCCAAGGATGGGCCATGCAAAATAGTTCCTGGCATATGTAAACTAGTTTATGGGAAAATATGAATATGCATTAGTGTGTGTGAATATGCAACAGGCTGATTGAAGGGGTATCCTCAAAGGTAAGGGTGTGCTGTTGGCTCAGTGCCAAGATGCACCTGGCCGTAATCTTTGCTTTTCTGTCTTTGTCTCCTATTGTCCTTTGTTGAACCTTTTACAATTTCACAGGAGAGGGAATGTGTTTTTCACATTTGGGGACTCATCTGGGATTAACACCTCACCTGCGAGACCCCAGGGGCCGCAGAGCGGGGGGCGTGCCCTGCCCAGATTCAGCGGCCTCGCTGGCTTCTTCTGGCAGAGATTGGTTGCAGGTAGAGCACCCAGTGGGCAAAAGGAGACACATCAAGGAAAGGGAAAAGGCTCCCTAAAACTGTGGTAACCCCACAAATTCTTGTGCACGAAGACCCAAAGAAGAAAAGAGGGTTGGTAAGTATTCTTTTGGGGTGATGAGTGTGTGTGAGTGAGACAAGGGCTAGTTATCCCAGACCTGCAGGGTGAGTGAGGAGTCTCCCAGGCTGCAGTTCCGTTCTTTTGTGAGAAAAAGGGCCAGTAAAGGGACGAGGAGTGAGAGAATCTCCCAGGGTAACTGGGACAGAGTCCCAGGGAGGGGTTGGACCCCTTGGAGGACAGGAGCTGAGGGTTTTCCTGACACAATCCTCTGGGAAAGTGGGATAAAAAGTGGAGGGGGCCCCTAAAAATTCTGCTGGGTTGAGGGATTAATATGCCCAAGAGCATCCAGGGTTGAACAAAATTCTGCTGGATTGAGGATATGCCCGAGAACGTCCAGGGTTGAACAACACAGCTGGATTGAGGGATACTCAAGAGCATCCAGGCTTGACCAGTAACATTTTGAGATTTTGTAATACCCGTGGGTGGAAATTAACAAGTGATTTGAGAACAAAGGTACCTTATTTTTGTGTTGTCCTGTTGTGAGTGTGAGTGAGTGAGTGAGTGAGACATATTAAATAAAAGGGAGTGAGTGTGAATGAATGAAAGTGTATGTGATATGGATTGTGGATTTAAAGTTTAACTTTTCTGGAAGAAGGTGGATTGTATTTTTTTGTGCTGTGAAGAGTGGGAGGTGTTCAGGCTGTCAGGGGAATGGATTGGATGTCAGGGGAATGGATTTGTCATGGGGAAATGAGACAGGGAGACAGAGAAAGGGGCTGGGAGCCCCTGGAAATGTTGTCTCTTCCTGTCTCCAGTTTCTCTGCTCCTGCCAGGAGCTCCAGTCTCCCTACCCGTATCAGCTTCCCTGCCTGTGTCAGGAGTTTCAGCATTGTGGATTTAAAGTTTAACTTTTCTGGAAGAAGGTGGATTGTATTTTTTTGTGCTGTGAAGAGTGGGAGGTGTTCAGGCTGTCAGGGGAATGGATTGGATGTCAGGGGAATGGATTTGTCATGGGGAAATGAGACAGGGAGACAGAGAAAGGGGCTGGGAGCCCCTGGAAATGTTGTCTCTTCCTGTCTCCAGTTTCTCTGCTCCTGCCAGGAGCTCCAGTCTCCCTACCCGTATCAGCTTCCCTGCCTGTGTCAGGAGTTTCAGCTCTCCCTCCCCGTACTGATCGTGATCGCTCCCATCCCCGCCTTGACTCTGGAGCCACCTGCTCCTCCCTCTGTTTCCTTGTTAATTCTGGCTTTCCTGCTGACTTCTGCTCCTAGCTCTGTCCTTTATTGGTTCCAGCCCCACTTCCGAGCCCTGCTCTTGTCTCTGCTCCCTTGGTGATTCCAGCTCCCGCTGTATCTGTGGGAGGGGTCCAGGAGAGGGGCAGAGCCCCGCTGTGGTCAGGGTCCAGGAGAGGACTGGGGATGCCTCTTTGTGCTGCAGCAGGGGAGGGCACCCACACTTAGAGGGCGACTTGGAGGTGCTTCAGGGGAAGTGCCCTGTAAAGGAGTGAGAAGATCATGGGCTCTCATTTCTGGGGGATGAATGCCATCTGGAGCATTCGATAACTTGGGAAGCAGGCCCCCAAGAGGAAGTATTGGCATTTGTGGTTGATTCTGGGGCAGAGAGAACTTGTGTGGTGGAGATTCCAGGGAGATGTGACATGGGTGGTGAGACGGTGGAGGTGGCAGGGGCAGAAGGAGAATGGTTTAAATTCCCTGTCATTGAATGGAGTAATTACGAGAGAGACTGGCATGGGGATAGATGTCTTGCTGGTTCCTGGGGCAGGCATCATCTTCTTGGGAAGAGACTGGAAATGGGAGTTGTACCAGAAGAAAAAAAGGCTGTGGACTTTACTTTTAGGGATAAACTAGTCATGTTTGTACACCTCGTGTGGTCCAAAGTGTGTTAAATCAGAGGAAAAAAAGAGGAAAAATAGGAAATAGTGAAAAAAAGAAGAGAAAAAGGTTGAAAAAGAAGAAGGGTAGTTAACAGACTCTAGGATGTTGGAATGTGGAATAATGATAACTTGATACTGGAGGAGGACAAGAGTTTGAGTACAATTTCTGTAGGAAGGGCAGGGAGGTGCCTTAACACATGGTTGGTTGGAGGTTGTCGAACTGGGGACTGGGAAGGTTTAGCAGCACAAGCCCTTCTCCTTGAAGGGAAAAGAAAATATGTTGACGGTTTGTCCAGATGCCTACAAAAGAAAAAACAATAAGAACACTTGGGGACACTAGGTTAAAAACTGTCAAGTTTAGGAGGTATTTGTCCACTCTCGAGCGAGCGGCAAGGTCTCGGGGGCTGCGGCAGGGGCTGATCTATGGGGGTGACCCGGCGCGGTAACTCCCAGTGTTCACCCACCCGGGGGAGGCGGCGCAGGACACGGTTTGCGTGGGGCGCCGCTGGGGTTGGGGGCTGGCTTGGTTGTGCCGGGGTCCCGCAGGGTGTGGGGTTGCCGGACCCGCTCAGCAGCCCTGTGGCGGTGCCGGGCACGGATCGCACGGGTTTGCCGCTGAGGAGCCGGCTGGCGCAGTGGCGGAGCTGGCTCCCAGCCTGCCGGGGTCCTGAGTCCAGGACGGCAGCCTCAGCCTCGGCAAGTGGGGGGAGAGAGAGAGAAGGATGGGGCGACAGGAACTTGAGGCACATCCCCAGGGTCCCTGCAGGTGTCTGCGAGTTCTGCTCCTGCTCCCGGAGCGAGGGCTGGGGCAGGGTCTGCCCTTACTGGGACCGCTGAGGTGCAGCAGCGAGGGATGCTGCTGAAAGCGCTGCTGTGAAAAGAGAGAGAGGGGCCAGAGTGAGAGATAAGACCAAGACAGTGGTAAAAATTGATCCAGCCAATTAAATAATAAATAAAATTTATTCATGACCGATGTACAGTCCCAACCATCAATAATCAAAAAGCAGCACTGACCCCGGGATCGGAGAAGGTGAACTGTGATCTATCGCACCGAATCCCCCTGTTCACCAATGACCCCTGGCAGAGTTCAATTTTTATACTCCTTTTCTTGCCCGCAGCGGAGTCCCTTTGTCCCCTCCTGGAGTTCTTCATATTCATGATGTGTCTATTCTCTGTCCTGTGCTGGACAAAGCCTTGTCCGGGAATTGATGTGTATCTGTCCCCAGTTCCCAGAATCCTTCATTCAGATGTATGTCCTTGATGTTCCGGTCTGTCTGAGGTGGACATCTTCATGGGCCATCATTGCTGGGCATTTTCTCATTCATGCTATTGGGGAATGCCCATGTCCTGTGAGGGCTAGGTTTACTTTGTATGTTAATGATGCACCTCCTCCTCGGCTGCGAGTTGTGGCTTTCATTATCCTGTGTGGCAATCTCCCTCTCTCCTTTCCTGGCGTGATCTTAAGATTTTTTATTACATTAATAATCTTACTTTTCCAGCACGAATTAGTGAGTGTGAGTGAGTGAGTGAGTGAGACATATTAAATAAAAGGGAGTGAGTGTGAATGAATGAAAGTGTATGTGATATGGATTGTGGATTTAAAGTTTAACTTTTCTGGAAGAAGGTGGATTGTATTTTTTTGTGCTGTGAAGAGTGGGAGGTGTTCAGGCTGTCAGGGGAATGGATTGGATGTCAGGGGAATGGATTTGTCATGGGGAAATGAGACAGGGAGACAGAGAAAGGGGCTGGGAGCCCCTGGAAATGTTGTCTCTTCCTGTCTCCAGTTTCTCTGCTCCTGCCAGGAGCTCCAGTCTCCCTACCCGTATCAGCTTCCCTGCCTGTGTCAGGAGTTTCAGCTCTCCCTGCCCGTACTGATCGTGATCGCTCCCATCCCCGCCTTGACTCTGGAGCCGCCTGCTCCTCCCTCTGTTTCCTTGTTTATTCTGGCTTTCCTGCTGACTTCTGCTCCTAGCTCTGTCCTTTATTGGTTCCAGCCCCACTTCCGAGCCCTGCTCTTGTCTCTGCTCCCTTGGTGATTCCAGCTCCCGCTGTATCTGTGGGAGGGGTCCAGGAGAGGGGCAGAGCCCCGCTGTGGTCAGGGTCCAGGAGAGGACTGGGGATGCCTCTTTGTGCTGCAGCAGGGGAGGGCACCCACACTTAGAGGGCGACTTGGAGGTGCTTCAGGGGAAGTGCCCTGTAAAGGAGTGAGAAGATCATGGGCTCTCATTTCTGGGGGATGAATGCCATCTGGAGCATTCGATAACTTGGGAAGCAGGCCCCCAAGAGGAAGTATTGGCATTTGTGGTTGATTCTGGGGCAGAGAGAACTTGTGTGGTGGAGATTCCAGGGAGATGTGACATGGGTGGTGAGACGGTGGAGGTGGCAGGGGCAGAAGGAGAATGGTTTAAATTCCCTGTCATTGAATGGAGTAATTACGAGAGAGACTGGCATGGGGATAGATGTCTTGCTGGTTCCTGGGGCAGGCATCATCTTCTTGGGAAGAGACTGGAAATGGGAGTTGTACCAGAAGAAAAAAAGGCTGTGGACTTTACTTTTAGGGATAAACTAGTCATGTTTGTACACCTCGTGTGGTCCAAAGTGTGTTAAATCAGAGGAAAAAAAGAGGAAAAATAGGAAATAGTGAAAAAAAGAAGAGAAAAAGGTTGAAAAAGAAGAAGGGTAGTTAACAGACTCTAGGATGTTGGAATGTGGAATAATGATAACTTGATACTGGAGGAGGACAAGAGTTTGAGTACAATTTCTGTAGGAAGGGCAGGGAGGTGCCTTAACACATGGTTGGTTGGAGGTTGTCGAACTGGGGACTGGGAAGGTTTAGCAGCACAAGCCCTTCTCCTTGAAGGGAAAAGAAAATATGTTGACGGTTTGTCCAGATGCCTACAAAAGAAAAAACAATAAGAACACTTGGGGACACTAGGTTAAAAACTGTCAAGTTTAGGAGGTATTTGTCCACTCTCGAGCGAGCGGCAAGGTCTCGGGGGCTGCGGCAGGGGCTGATCTATGGGGGTGACCCGGCGCGGTAACTCCCAGTGTTCACCCACCCGGGGGAGGCGGCGCAGGACACGGTTTGCGTGGGGCGCCGCTGGGGTTGGGGGCTGGCTTGGTTGTGCCGGGGTTCCGCAGGGTGTGGGGTTGCCGGACCCGCTCAGCAGCCCTGTGGCGGTGCCGGGCACGGATCGCACGGGTTTGCCGCTGAGGAGCCGGCTGGCGCAGTGGCGGAGCTGGCTCCCAGCCTGCCGGGGTCCTGAGTCCAGGACGGCAGCCTCAGCCTCGGCAAGTGGGGGGAGAGAGAGAGAAGGAGGGGGCGACAGGAACTTGAGGCACATCCCCAGGGTCCCTGCAGGTGTCTGCGAGTTCTGCTCCTGCTCCCGGAGCGAGGGCTGGGGCAGGGTCTGCCCTTACTGGGACCGCTGAGGTGCAGCAGCGAGGGATGCTGCTGAAAGCGCTGCTGTGAAAAGAGAGAGAGGGGCCAGAGTGAGAGATAAGACCAAGACAGTGTTATAGGTAAAAATTGATCCAGCCAATTAAATAATAAATAAAATTTATTCATGACCGATGTACAGTCCCAACCGTCAATAATCAAAAAGCAGCACTGACCCCGGGATCGGAGAAGGTGAACTGTGATCTATCGCACCGAATCCCCCTGTTCACCAATGACCCCTGGCAGAGTTCAATTTTTATACTCCTTTTCTTGCCCGCAGCGGAGTCCCTTTGTCCCCTCCTGGAGTTCTTCATATTCATGATGTGTCTATTCTCTGTCCTGTGCTGGACAAAGCCTTGTCCGGGAATTGATGTGTATCTGTCCCCAGTTCCCAGAATCCTTCATTCAGATGTATGTCCTTGATGTTCCGGTCTGTCTGAGGTGGACATCTTCATGGGCCATCATTGCTGGGCATTTTCTCATTCATGCTGTTGGGGAGTGCCCATGTCCTGTGAGGGCTAGGTTTACTTTGTATG